GAACAGCTTTAGGCTTACCATTATCATTACTTTCCTTTAGTTACTAGACTCCCTTTTACGCGTTTCCACTCTTGCATGACAGCGTTGGTTTCACTTTACAAATTTATCCCTTTTTAATCGCTTTTAGTTATAGCTATATTGTTTATTGTTGGATTCAACACATAACTTTCAGCAATTATCGTAGTACCGCCCACCGTATTTAACCACGCATTAAATGTTTGTTCTGTGCGAGCCAATTAGTAGTGGGGAATTGGACCACGTGTGTAGCGATTAGCCAATAAAATCGCTAATCTTATATTCACTATCCAACCACCTGCTTGACAACCTGCGCAACTGAGACCGCGATTCTCCCGCCTAGATAAAAGCTCAATGAGAACTACGTTTTGTAGTAAATAAAGGAGCGTTCCATTGATATCACTCTTGGGGGAAATATCGTGCCAAAAATTTGAAAGTCAGATTTCACTTAATAGCTTCCACAAAGTTTAGTCAAGAAGAACGGTTTAATATGGCGTGTTCTATAAGTTTCCGCGCTTAATTTCATGGTAAACTTCAACGTGTAACTTGGGGGTGCATGCCAAATCGAAAGCTCGAGTGTTTTGACAGTTTTGCTTCAGGATTATTGTCGCAACGACGAACGATATGGTTTTCGGTGAGTATATCTTTAGAAAGCAAGCCGGAAATTAACTAAACAAAGTTAGCAAGTTAATAAAATGCAAACCGCAAATACTACCCAATCCTAAACCTGGCCCTAACAAAAACCGCGGTTAATCTAGGTCTAACCGCGGTGATACCAATTTTGATTCTCGGTCGAACTCGGTCTGACAGACATTTCTTAAGATGTTTTCGATTTGATTATTGTGTTGTTCTCAGCAGCTCATAACATTCCGTTGGAAAGCAAACGGAAACCACGACCGTATTTTTTCCCCTTGCAGTCGTCTGCGGTTTCTATCGGTCGACCGCAACCGCAACCGCAACCGCAAAGTCGCAAACCGCAAAACGCAACCGCAGTGTTGGGTTATTTCTGGACAGTGCTGTACAACCTTCTATCAACCTTTACGCATTTTCCACCACGAAACCGTGACTCGTAGTGCAGTGCGAATTTAATGTTTAATCTGTCCCAGTAAACGCGGAGAACGGTATCGGCTAAGGTACATCGCCTCTCCTTTGTTGATTTCCCTCTCATACAGCATGATGATTTCTAGCCTAAATTTGTGACTTGCAAATTATGGAAGTCTAAAGAGGCATTACAAATTACAACAAAGCAGAAGCCGCAAACCAAAGGCAAACCATCCGAAGGTGAAAACTTTCCAACCTCTGAATAATGGCCCACATTCCGGTTAGAATTTCTCCTCGCAATTGCATAAATAAACGAAACAGACACTGTAACCTAACCAGAAAAAAGCAATAGGCCATTTCTGATGTATTTAGAAAAACAGCAAATTCAGCTTTGCCGTATGTGTTTCATGTGCTTGAACGACTGCATGCACCCTCAGCCAGTAAAATGCTTCCGAGAGTAAGAGAATTTAAAGAGCTGATTTAATTTGAAAACACGATATGAACACGATAACGTGTCGTTTCGAATCAAGTGGGAGGGTTCACCTGGCCAGTTTCAAGCATGTAGTTTTAGGACTGGGTCTAGTTGCATAGTCAGTGTCAAGAACAAAAAAGCTGTTATCGTTTCTATATAGAAGGGGATAAACTTTTCGAAAAGTGCATGGTAACGCTTTTTTGCGAATACTAATTTACTAACTTCGAAAAATATAGTGTTTGACATTATGTTTATGTAAAAGGAACTTTCGTATATTGTTTGTTTTGTTTTCTCATTTGTTTAGTATATGTTCTCAGTTAAGACAAATAAATCTGTCTGTATTTCTGTCGACTAAGCATGTCTATCCGTTCACATACTTTTAAATACTCTGTTTATAGATAACATTTCGTGGTATTGGTTGATTCTCACCATTGTTTTTCTAACGATTGTTACCATTTTTAAACGCAGCCGTGGCGTTAGACAGCCTGATGAACGTCATGTGAGAGATGACGTAATTGTGGAATTCCGTCGTATCCATTTTATAAACAAAACATTTGTTAATTCAACAAAAAACCCAAGCACTTTCGTACAGCTCACTGAATTTTTTCTACCCTCCATCCATCTATCGCCTTTTTTCCAGTTTCTGAAAACTGAATTATTCTCCAATTTTTAACGTTTCTCTTTATCGGTTTGATTAAAACGTTCACGCATGTATATTGGAATCAATATACGTTGGGTATACTGCAAATCCAGTGAACTCTATGTGAACTGGAAGGAAAACACGGCGTCATCCTCGAAGCCTATTTGAAGCTGAATCGCCAGTCCATTTCTATTGTTTTTGTCGGCGAAATCATTGACCGTGTCACCGTGAAGACAGAAGCTTGAATTTGACTTAAGGCGGATGTCTCCGGAGACGTCACCATGGACTGCCATACATCTCATACCATGGACCCTCTTCCATCAGGCTGGCTAGGTCGTGGGCGTTGATCGCTCCTGTGTCTCTCATCAGAGTGTCTACAAATGTTGCCTTTTGCCGTTCTCCCCGTTTCCCTGCCCCATGTGTAGGCTTCCATAAATGCAACTTCTGAATGCTCAGATCAGGATAGCGTAATAGCAGTGTCCCGCCAATGCCAGACGAAGCCTACGTTCAGCAATTTTCATGTTTACTTATTTTCATGTCTATTAAACAGTAGAAAGAAACTGGTACTGGCGCCTAATTCGGCTTTTAAAGTTGCCTGATAACCCTGCATGTGAGTAATCATCATGCTCAAACAAATTAATTACCATATAAATTGAAATTGCCTTCTAGCAATTTTTTTTGCCTTTGATTTTAGAGTTCTCTGTTCTTCGCCTCGTAATATAGATTGTAAGTTTTACGGAAAAGTACCAGTCAATCTCAAGAAAGTATAATATCAACCTTATACATTTCACCTGGAAGTGATGCTGAATAGTTATAATAGAACTTAAGTTAAATATGCTCATTTAATATTGTTATACAGGGTGTATAAAAAAATCTGTATATACATAATATGTTCATATATTAATATTCATATATGCATGTTCGCTTCTATTCAATAAGAAAAGATCGTAGGCTTCTGGGAATTATTAAGGGTTTCTTTTTTTTATACACCCTGTATATGTTACCTGATTTTTTAACAATACCTCAAATAGGGAAATTCATGAACTTATATAACAAGGGATGTTCTACGGAACTTCATATTATGAATCTTATCAAAGAACAAGCATTTTAAACATTCACTTGCTAAAAAATATATAATATTAGAATTTTACTATCTACTCTCACATGCACTTCACTTGAGCACTGTTAGGCACTTACTTTTGATGAATTTGATCGTTTGCAAATATGATCATTAACTAAGTGCAATTCAATCAATCTCCAGCTGGTCAACCAATCAGAAGCCAGATCCTCGACGGCAAAACTGAATTATCATTTCCTTCATTTCATATGACTTCCGCACTGGAAAATTTTAAGTAATTCTATGCGAAAACATATTTGTTTTTCAATCGACTGCAAGTTATAATTTTAATTTTTCGCTGTTTATACTGATAATTATTATTAGTTGGAAGAACCGGAACGAACAAATGATTCAGACGGCATGATAACTCAGTTTTGTCGAGATCTTAGACCAGCTGGCTATATATGTTGCGCAACTAAGGGTCTTACACAAAAGCCTTCTGGTAGTTTCTAGTAGACCTCAAGCCTGTGATACAAATTTGTAAAATGGGCGAATTAAATAAAAAATGTATATATAAATCGAAAAATGCATATCGAAAAATTTCTCTTGATCAAAAAATTCCGCCTAGTGGAAAACCGCCCTTAAGTCAAGAACACGTGACCCTGTTCCCAGTCTTTCAGTTTGGAGTTGTCTCTTTCTCGGCTTCAATTCCAGAGACAATACGAATATTTTTATTTAGCCTTCCTTCAGCCCGCCTCCATAATTCATTCGGCTTCGTTGCATTTACTTCCAGAAGTTTAAGTTTTCCGTTATAGGGCTTTTTAAACTGCCTTGTGGGATTTTGACCGCCCACTACATTTATGTCGACATACGTTGGTTAAACTGATATAACGTTTATATTTTACCGAGATTGCAATGCCACATAATTATACTAAATTTTACTATATATATAATATAGTATAATATACATTGCATGTTTATATAATATACATGCATGCATGTATACATGCAGCACATGAGACATTGGTTTCAATATCATTTTAAGGAATTCGAAATATGTTTGGCAAACTATATGATATTTTGAAGAGTTTGAAGAATAATTCGCTGACGAAATAAATTACAAACTTCCGTTTCTATATAACAATAATCTATCACACATTAACTACGCAGTCTTCACTCTGCGTCGGGTTGTAAAATCTCAAAACTCTGAAATGCCATGAAATTTTATATCACGCTAAAGTTAATTTCAGTGTCGGAAAATGTAAACGCCACCGACTTCGACCGAGGTTTCTATCACTGAATTATTTTCTGAAAAGAAGCATAAGGTCTCAAATAAAGGAAAGAGCGGAATCAATCGCAGAACAAATGAATAGAGCACATGAAACATTGGTTTCAATGTAATTTTGAAAAATTCGAAATATGTTTGGCAAACTGTGTAGTATTTTGAAGAGTTTGAAGAATATTTCGCTAAAATTTCAAACTTCCGTCTCGATATACCAATAATCTATCACTCATTAATCGGTCTTCACTCAGCGGTTGTGAAATCTCAAAGCTTTGAAATGCCATGAAATTTTATACATGCTAAATTTCGAAAAATGTAAACGCCATGTACCGACTTCGCCGAGGATTCTATCACCGAATTAATTCCTGAAAACTATAAAAAGAACAGAATCAATCGCGGAACAAAGTCCACTTAAGTATTCTTTGTTTGCAATCACGTGATCTACGGAAATTTGATTTTCATCTGACGGGCAAGTTTAGGCAAATTAAATATGGCGGCTGCTCCAGAGTCAAGTCATTCGACATCTTCGACCACTTCCTCTTCTTTATCAGATTATTTCTACAAGTTAGAACCCAATGTAAAAGCGAGATACATTGAAAAGATCACATTATGTGATGGTATAGATCCCTATGCTATGAATAAAAACAGTTTTTCGACAGACTTCAAGGACCTACCGAATCTGGAATTTCCAGATATCTCGAATTATCTCGTTATCCAAACGTCCTTTTACTCAAAACAGCAGATGAAGGCTTTCAAGAGTCTTGAGGCGTACAACTTTTTTGTATGTGGATGGGTACACGGCACTGGTATAAAGAAATTAAAGAATGGGAACCAACTAATAATGGCAAGGGTACCGTACAGTTTTAAGTATTAAGGAATTTAATTTATATTGTATAATTTGGTTCATTTGCTCAAATTTTTTTTTGTTTTGAACAGGTTAATCACTCCCAGAGATCTACAGAAACACCGTTAAAGACTTGGGTGATAATGAAGGAAGATGGTGAAGTACTGACAGGACATTGCAATTGCATGGCAGGGTTTGTAAAATCTATAAATTTCGTTTGCAAATTAGTGAGTTTGAAGTATCAGTAGTGTATTATTAAACACAAGGTTAAAACATTTGTTTCATATATAGATTGGCAGAGTCTTGCTCTCATGTAGGAGCAGTGCTATATTTCATTGAAACAGCAGTGCGGACACGTGAAACTATTACCTGTACGATGGAAAAAAGCAAGTGGTTGATGCCAGCACCTATGAAAAAGGTTTGCTTCATAACAGCAATATTATTATTATAGTGTTAGAGAAGTGCATGTAGATTAAATAACAAATTGCCATTATATATGCAGTGCACATGAATAGTACTAAGCTGTATTGTATGTTTTTCTGCAGATCGAACCTGCATCAGTCAAAACAATGGACCTATCCTCAGCAAAGGCAAAAAAACAAAAGATGGATAATGCTATGTGTGGAAAGTCATCCCCTACAATACAACAACCAAAGCCACCATGCCCCACAGTTGCACATGGATCAATGGAATACCATGAGTTCTTTAAAACCCTGAATAAGAACTTTCCCAAAAGTGCCTGTTTAATGTCAAAACGACTCTATTATTCCTCATTTATACCTATGTCAGCCACTGAGGTATTACCAAAGCCTATTATGAGCTATGGATCAGAAGAATCATTAAAACTTGACCACAACCAATTAATGAATGAATGCCAGAAGCTAACATTAAAAATAACAGCAAAACAAGTAGCTGTCTTAGAAGCAGAAACCAGGAGGCAAAGCAACTCAAAACTATGGTTTACACATAGAGCTGGTCGAATCACAGCATCAAGACTTAAATCTGTTGTCCGAACAAATCCAGAAAAACCATCAAAGTCGTTGATTAAGTCTATATGCTATCCAGAAGCATATAGGTTTTCAAGTGAAGCTACCAGGTATAACTATTTGCAGAACAAGAATTTTTTATTGTAATGTATTGATTTTATATTTTGATAATTTTGCATTTTATTCCTTTAGATATGGTTGCAATCATGAGGGTATTGCAAGGAAAAAGTATGAAAGTGTCATGTGCCAACAACATGAAACATTTTCAGTATGTGAAAGTGGGTTAAGAGTGAACCTTAAATGGTCATTTATGGGTGCAACACCAGATGGGGTGGTCATGTGTGATTGTTGTGGTATTGGAGCATGTGAAATAAAGGTATACAACTCATTCTTTTAAAAGCTTATATACATTAGGGATGGTTGAATACATTGTAAGGTCACCCTCTCTAATGTAAATCACTCCAATCTTTTCACTCACTGTATAGTGTCCATTTTGCAAGAAGGAGAAGGAAAACCTGGTAGATTGTGCAGGTGACAAGGGATTCTGTCTGGTCAAAAGTGAAACTGGTATACAGCTGGACAAGAACCATGCCTATTACTTTCAAATTCAAGCACAAATTCACATTATGGAAATTGATTATTGTGATTTTATAGTATGGAATGAGAATGACATTTACATAGAACGAGTCCTACCAGATATTGTATTTTGGGATAGTGTTGTACCTAAGGCAGAGTTGTTCTTTAGAAAGTGTATCCTGCCAGAAGTATTAGGGAGATTTTTCTCTAAACCATTTTCTGCCCTTGAGCTAAAAAATTCTGAGGAGTAAATATCACAATAACTTAAGATTTGTAATCATTTTGTACACAAATTTATAAATACAAATGTATGTTTAATATTCTTAAATAATTAAATTTAACTTACAGTATAACTCTTGAATATTTAAGTTATATCAACACTGCTAAATATTTTTAATATAATTATTTACATAAGGTAGATTTTCATTAATAATTCTTACTCCAATGGAACCACAGATTGACATAGGTTTGTCAGAGCACAACATACAACTCCAATCTTGTCAATCAATGAATGTTGTTCTCCAGGCTGTGTGTGCAAAAATTCGGTGGGCATTGCTCTACTTTGAAGGACTTGAAACTTGCGCCTTACTAACCCAATAACTCTTTCCACATGTATGCGGACATGAGCTATCTTTCGGGTTTCTTCCACTTCAAAAGGTGTTAGTTGTGACTTTCCTTTTGTGAAGGCTGGTATTTTAAGAGAGGCACAGTAGAGCCCAACATTCTCTTCAATGTTGAATCCACGATCTGCTAGTACAACATCACCTGGGAGAAGATTTTGAAGAATTTTGCTTTTCTCTGTTAGATGTTTGTCACTAACTCTTCCTCCCCAAGCATCTGATATGAAGGTAATATATCCTTGAGGTGCAATACCGATAAGAAATTTGACAGTATTGTGGTGCTTATAGTTTGACCAACTTTGAGCACGGGCTAATAAGTTAGATGGTCTCTCTACAAATACTTCGAAGCAATCTATTATTACAGCTATTTGGTTTCCAAAAGTGTTTCTGAAATCCATGGGCATTGTAGCCCTAAGTATTTCTCTCTCAGGCCATTCAATCAGAAACTGAAGTCTCAAGTGCAAAATAGATATCAATTTCTTGAAAACTCTAGATGCTGTCGCAGTGGATATTCCAAATCTGTATGCCAAGTCTTGGAGTGAAAGATTAAGTTTTAGTCTCATAAGAGTCAAGATAAGTTGTTCAAATTTAGTTAGTGCTGACCTGTCAGTGTGAGATATCCAAGCTTCACAAAGGTTAAACACCTGTAACAGTACCAAAAAGTTAGGTAGACCTGTATAAAATCTGGTCTTTGCTTCACTCTTTGCAAATTCCTCCTTCGAAAGTCCAGTAAGTGAGACCTTAGCCTGTAAGTCAAGTAGCTCAAGCTTTTTCTCAGCCAATTCTTTATCTCTTTCTTCCAACGACTCAGCAGTAACATATGTTTGGCATTCTTTCGTGCGTACAACAGTTGGGCCATCACGATCTGTGACATTTTCCAATGATTTATCTGTTCAAGTATACATTATGATATAAATTAGATACTCGTAGAAAATTAACAAAATCATAATGTAAAAATATTAATGTCATTTGCATTAACAGTATGTACCCATACTTGATAAGTCATTAACATCCTTTGGAAGTGGAGGATTCTGGAGAGACAGGAGAGCAAGGGCTGCCTGATTTTGTTGTCGCTTCTCTTCTCGTTCAACTGCTCTTTTCCGCCTTTTCAAAGCACATTCTGAAGTCGGTTTCACTTTTTGATGCCCAAGGTTAATTGTTGGTGCCCAATCAATATCTTCTTCATCAAATAGTTCACTTGGATAACCTGGAAAGGAGTGCTTTTGTAGCTTTTAGAATGCACTTGTCATTGGAAAACTTACAAAAAGGCTAATTCTCTACATTTCTCCAGGGTAGGGGGAGTAGGATTTCCAATGACAAGTACACATAATACAGTAACTATATATAAGTATTTTAATATACCTTCATTAAACATCAGATGAGAAGAGTTGTGTACAAGCAATTACACTAGTAAATATAACAACTGATGAACTAGATTTATGGGCTATAATACCTTTAACAAAATGGTCGCTGCATACACGAGCATGTCGAGACTCAACTCCTTTCGTCACCAACGACAGGTTGGCAAGCCATTTAGCTCGACGTCTTTTTGAAATATCTCTTGTTTTGTCTCCTCTGTGCGAGATTTCTTTAGGTATTCTGAAGAAGCGTTTATCCCTGTTCTTGTTCGAGCGGTTGGTACATAGATAAACCGAACAGCAATCCGGCATTTTGGATTTTAAAATATCTCCCAAAGCACACAACAGCCGCCATATTTGTTAAACTTGCCCGTCAGATGAAAATCAAATTTCCGTAGATCACGTGATTGCAAACAAAGAATCCTGTACTTTGTCCGCTTCAGCTTGTAAACAAAGTAACATTCAGGATGATGAAATTCAAGGTGTTATTTTGTTTGGTTTTTAGTACTTTTAAGGCTTCCGATGTCTGGCGAAACGTGGTATTAAAAAAGACGCTTTCATCGCCAAAGTACGCGATGATCCCAACAAAATCAGCGGAATGTTTCAGCAGTGTTCATGTGTTGAAATACTCTCGCGTGCACGTGATAACAGGCAGAATATTGCCTTTCAATATCGCTTTGGATGATGTAATGTACTCGAGGAATTATCGGATTCTAGATCTCTTTCTTCTCTTTCTGTAATTTAGGTCATTGACAACTTTCGTGACTGACTGAGAAAAGCTCGCGCAGACGATTCATTATTCCAGACTATAAACCTTTATAATTATACCGCTTCCAAACCTCACGCTTGCCAATCCAGTGATATATATAAGGTTCAGTACATTTCGAGGCAAAACGGTTTCAAAGGAAGTAATAAATAATAATCGTCTAACAATGCAATGTGAAATACTTCAATCCTTAATATGCACCTTATACAAAATATTCATGACTTATGAGGAGAGGTCTTAAAAAGCTTTTATCCGAAAATAAAGACAAAAGCAGGAAAAGCAACGAGTAGGAGGTTTTGAAAAGTTTTGAAAGCTCTTTCTGATTAAAAGTGATAAAAATTACTTTAAACGCATTTTAAGTCTCTTTTTCCGTCAACGAGAACAAAGCCATTACACGACGGCAGCTATCAATACAATGGTTCATTGAGAAGAAATGAACACTAAATAACCTAAATACGTGATCTATACGTGCTGCTAACAACGGCAAAACCACGTTTATTTCGTCCTATGTAGAACGTGTGCATTCCAGGACCCAGTGTGCGCTACCTCGAATTAGGCTCTATAGAATTGTCCCTAAACGTAAACACAATGTTTTTAACGTCTTATATCTCATCAGATTCGTACAGTTGATAATATAAAACAACGCTTTATCATAGCATTTATTTAAAGAAGTATTCTAGCCACGTCGTCGTCGTGTTGCCGTCCTACATGCTTATTATGGCCGGTGTTTAGAAATTGAGTTTGACGGTTCGAACAGCTTCAGGCTTATCATGAACATTCATTCCTTTAGTTACTATAGACTCCCTTTTACGTGTTTCCACTCTTGCATGACAGGGTTGGTTTCACTTGAAAACTATTAAACTAGATTGGCCCGGCGAAGATTATGGCGTTGAGATGGAATCGCTGCCAAGTAACGCATTCTTTGAAAAAATGTGGAAATCAGGCTACGATTACACGAAGTGGGCAGGCTCTGATGTAATATAAGTTAAGACAAAGAATACTCAATACGGCAATAAGTAAATAAATCTCATTTTTATGCTTCTAGATACGTTGACGACAAATAACATTGCGTTTAAATCATTTATCGGCGATTATGCCAAACTGGTTTAAGAAAACTACAGCGAAATTTTTCTCTTAGTCAAACCACAGAAAGAATAAATTTTTCATGTTACGAAACACGCAGACTTGTTATATCAATATACAAATTTGTCCCCTTTTAATCGCTTTTAGTTATAGCTATATTGTTTATTGTTGGATTCATCACATAACTTTCAGCAAACATCGTAGTACCGCCCACCGTATTTAACCACGCATTTATTGTTTGTTCAGTGCGAGCCAATTGGTAGTTGAGAGTTGGGCCACGTGCGTAGCGATTAGCCAATAAAATCGCTAATGTTATATTCACTATCCAACCACCTGCTTGACAACCTGCGCAACTGAGACCGCGATTTTCCCGCCAAGATAAAAGCTCAATGAAAACTACGTTTTGTAGTAAATAAAGGAGCGTTTCGTTGATATCACTCTTGGGAGAAATATCGTGCCAAAAATTTGAAAGTCAGATTTCATTTAACAGCTTCCACAAAGATTAGTCAAGAAGAACGGTTTAATAAGGCGTGTTCTGAAAGTTTCCGCGCTTAATTTCATGGTAAACTTCAACGTGTAACTAAGAGATGGCGAAATCGAAAGCTCGAGTGTTTTGGCAATTTTTCGTCTTGTTTATCGTCGTAACAACGAACGATATGGTTTTCGGTAAGTTTCTTTTGAGTTTTGACAGCAAATTAGTAATTTAGTTAGTCAGCCGCATAATACTATATTACCCACTAACTACGTGGCATCAGTTTGAGTTTGTGAAAGTTTATGACTAGCAATAGTGGGACTTGTTGTTTAATTCAACGAAAATGGAATCGCGTAAACAAGGCAGATGATAAATACATTAAATCGTCCATTATTCGTACTAGGCTAAATCAACATGCTGTCTATACAATTGCCGGGGCCATGAAAAGTCTATGACGCCCTGGTATAGGCAATGTTTCGCTAGAAGTATAACTGTCGTTGTAACAAACTTTATATTGTCATTACTATACATGCGTCAAAAGCTATGTATGGGTTTTGAATTGTTTTTCAGTACTTTTGTAAACTTTTTTGTTTCGCTTAAGGAAGCAGTTAACCTGTATATTTATATTTTGCTCATGTCTGTTTGTATTGAGGACAATAACCATAAAAGAAAAGCTGAATTTTGCGAGTCACTTGTTACCAAGCAACAGAAGCGGGTCGCCAAATATTAGTCGGGAAATAATATCCAACATGCAGGCTTTTCTCACGAAACCTGTTAAATCTCTTCTTTTACCGTTTGTGAAACTTTGACTTGTGGATTGCGTCAGCTACTATGGAGGTCCAAAGTTCGTCCTACGCACAGGCGATGTAGACATTGATATTCTTAACCACGTGCACATTATTCATGATTTTGAAACGTCGCGGATGTTCTAAATTCGTTGATAAACTGAACTATTCCAAGAACACACGGTAAAACAGATTATGTACCACTTCCTGATTGCGTGGCTTCTTTCCGTCAATACGAATTATTCGACATCTGTATTTTAACGTCCGTTTTGTGATCAATAAATTACTCAGACAGAGACGCCAATAAGATCATACAGAGGATTTTTTGTGAAAAAAATTCCTTGAGTGTTTAGCGTCTGTGTGCGGTTTGGAATTCTGCCTGAAATGGATTTAAAAAAAGCGAGTTATTCTGTTTATGATTGTTTAGATATTGAATAATCCCTTTAATTAAAGTGAAATAACAAAACGAAACTTAAAATGAAAATGTTATTGAAAGTTAAAATTGGGAGCAATTTGATACAGAAATCAAATTCCACATCAGCTTTGAAATCACGGAAGTTTTTAGCCGATATTAAGCCCACGTGTATTTTTTGTTGAACGTCTTTACTGTAAATCACTTGAAAGAAAGCTTTTTGCCCATGCAGTATGTTAAAAGCACGAACAGAACAATTTATAAATAGAACTATAGAAGTAAGCGTTCAGCATTGGTAGATTAACGTATATATTGACTTGTCATGGTAAATATTGTTCTGCCATAATGCCATCATCGAGATGTCTAAATTAACCAGCTGGCTTTTAGCTCACGAGATCTTTGTTTACCCTCATGCATGCCATGTGCGACATCTTCAGTTTCAAAATTGATAGAGAAATTCTTTTTCGCTATTTCATATATAACCCTACAATAAAACCCATATCATTTCCAGGTTAATAAACTATTTAAGTTTAATTCTTTTCAACGAAGTGATTTGGAGGAAGTTCCAATATAAGTTATATGCAATGTCATTATAAACTGCTACTGGAATGCATGCATATATTCTTTATTTTCATGCGACACCAAAGTTGGTATTGTTTATTGAACAAATGAACATATTTGGATCTATTTGAATTGGATGATTCCCTAAGAGTGAAGGATCAGTTGCTTCCTTGAAATTGCTAATAATTTTGTCGATGTTTTGACAACTTTTTAACGAAGTAATGAACGTAAATATTTTATTCATGCAGTTTACTTAGAAAGCTGTATATAGCTAGTTCAGGAAAATTTTTCAGCTGTTCGATCCTTCCCAGAATCTCCTCGCGCCCTTTTTTTGGGTACGGATATAAAGATGCAAATGATGTTATGACTGTAAATATGAATGAAATGAATGAATATTGCGTGAATTTGGCATGTACGTTAGACAGATTGTTGAAATGTATTGAGGCAAAAAATCGAGCCTTTTCCTGTCTTCAACTATTAAATTGGTCCGCTTGTGTGAGTTTATACAGCGACCTCTTTCCGGTTTTTCCTTGAAAACATCCGCATTCATTTAAGCTGCGCTTATACCGTTAGGATCGACAATTTACAAACAAATTGATCGACTTAAAAGGGTTCTAAAATCGCGTGGTTACCAAAGGTTTGCGGTTTGTCATTACGGCATTAGGCCATGTCATCACTGCAGTTAATTTCAAACGAAAAAAAGTCTCAAGAATTTTGGTCTGATGTAACTCCTTTGGGCCATCTGCAATCAGCGATATATTTCCTATATATTTACTCTGACCACTGGCTAGATGTAGGTTATAGAATATAGATAGCATTTAAATTATAACCAATTTAGGCTATGAATCTATTATCTATAGGAGACAAGTTAAAGTTACATGAGCTTGTTTGAAACGGCTATTTAATTCAGTGTCTTCCGCATCATTCAGTTTTGACACACATCATGTTTGATTAAGCCAACTGAAATTGAACAAAAAGAACTCTTCACTCATGCAATCGCTTCAAACGGCAGAAATGCTTATACGTACTGAAGAGTTACTAAAATGCTTCTCAATTATACTACAGCTAGTTTAAATTCACTTAGCATCTCGGCAGATGCATGACTTTTTGTTTTAAACTGCATCCATAAAGAAGATTTTTTTATAGAGGGATAACCTAATGGGACGAAATATTCCTGTCCGAGCTGTCTAAAATTAAGTGCACGGACAAGTAAAACTCTAATATTATAGGCTATCAAAATTGTATTGTACAGGCCATTAAATTATTTTTTTACAATGCAACTTGCATTGCAGTCATGCACTACTTCATCGCGAATTGTAAAATTTAGAAGCGACAATCTAATCCAAAAACTTATCGGCAAGTGATCAAACGTGCCAGCATTTATAGCCATGTATTGTTCTCTTATATACTGTATATCACATCCGGCTTAATCAGTAACTAGCTGATAGTGGGCTTTTTATAATAACTAGAATAGATTAATCGCCTATATTAAACCCGCTGAAGACCGAACCTTTTTCAAATGGGTCTCAGTTCGTAAAAACCTGTAGTTTATTTGTACACGTTGCACCTGCCTACATGCAACACAGCATGTTCGAATAACGTAAATAAACATATTTGTGTACGTAGCTATAGAGTAGGAGTATAGTAATTATTTCCTTGCACTTTCAGTTATCTCTAGCTTAATTCAAATACATGTGTTTCGTGTTCCTCATAGACATAAACGTAGATACGTACATTTAAAAACAAATTATGCGGTCTTTCAATTGAATGGGAAGCCAATTTGTAATTTACATACATACATACGCACACATGTCTTTGTCTTTTGATTGAATTGAAAAGTGTTTGTAAATAGGGCTTTTACGCCTACGTGCAACGTAAAATTGTTATTCATCCGGTCTTGTTAGTTGTTATGATAGAATTTACAAGTTTAAAACTCAGTGATCTTGTATGAATCGAGTCGCCCAACACAGAGTGAAAATTTAACGTTAAATCTTCGGCTTACCACAGTGACAGAAGGGTGAAGAAACCTGATAAGCGGTTTGGAAACGACTCGGTGTCTTCGATATCATAGACGTCATCATCACCTGTATAATACAATACGACGAATTTTTAATTCCACATTTAATTCACAGTTTCACACCCGTTTGAACGCGATTAGTAAACGTCGAACAGCATCATTGCCATAGTACATACTAATAAGATTTTCAACTCTGCTATAGTGTATTTCGCTGTCGATTGCATGTCTCGACATAGTGTCTAGTGACGGAGTCCGGAAGCTGCAAGTTCAAGCACGAGTTTCCTAATGAATTTCAAATTATCAGCGTAAATTTTAATTCCGATCATTAACAGGACGAAGGGATTTTGGATGTTCCTCTGACGAGTACGAATGCAGCAAAACTCAAACGTGCACTCGACTGAAATGGAGATGTGACGGAGAAGACGATTGCTTTGACGGAGAAGATGAACTCAATTGTGAGTATGAGTTAAGATAACAGAAGATTTAACGACTTAGCTCGAGAGGGTAAAACTATACATGATGCAAAATATATTTGCATTTTAAGTATCGCTAAAATTCGATAATAATAAATGCTATGTACCGAAAATTCTAAAACGTCTATTTGACATAAAAGTCACTTTGTCGGTTGGTAACTTGGAGTGGTGTATATAAATTAACATTGTGATATTTGCACCCTGCATTTTCACCTGTATGTACGCAATACATTAGAGATGCTACAGCAGGTGTTCAATCTCCTAGAATCTAGGTAACGTATAACCTGGTTATGTACACCTGGTTATGTTGGGACGTGCATTTAGTATCGCCAGTAATTTACAATGTTACTGGGTATATCAAAGCATTTTATTTATACGCATAGTCGTAGGATTTTCACCTTTAAACATGTCCAATTAACAAAAAAATTCGGAAATGATATGATATGTAGAAGTTATGATTTTTGGCACTTCACTCGATGCAGGTAAATTCTGGAGGTTCAAAGGGTCTTAATTTCGATTGGAATAAGTATATACACACATCAAATTAAAGCCAGGAACAGTTGAATGAAAAATGAGAATGTAGACTTAGCTTAATTTTGACAATTGTTATAACAGCAATTGAAACCAAAATTTGTCGGTCTCTTACTTTCACGTCAGTAAATTGTTGTCTGAAGATTTATAGCAATTTTCAAGTATAGCAAGTATATCTTTGTTCTTCGACTGTGTTGGTAGATATCTTTGTTCTTAGAAACGTGTTTATTGCACGGTACCGGGTTATATATATATAGCTACGTGACTTGAAAGTTGAAACGTCATCATATATTTATAATTGAATTTACAATTTAAACTAACGGGCTGTTATATAGAGTCAAGGGCGACCGACGCAGTGTAAAAATTCAGAAAGAAAAAGGATGTAGTAATATCTATTAGCTATAATAACGAGCTCACTGCGAGCTCAGCTTAAATATGTTATTTTCTTGTCATGCAGGTCCACCGACCACATGTAGGCCGGGTTATTTCAAATGTAGAAATGGAAGGTGTATTGAAAATTCCTGGGTGTGTGATCGACACCATGATTGTCCTGACAAAGATGATGAGGCGCCCATACAACAATGTATGCTTCGTTTTTGCTTTATTTTGTGCTGTTTTGCATTGTATGATACGTATATATTATCGTGTTAGTTTTAATTCAACAGTACAAGAATAGCCAGCACAACAATCAGGTTTTTGATGGAAAAAACACCGAAAAATAAAAACGAATTTTATCTTTCTGTCGATGCTTTATGTTTATTTCGATGATTAGTGTTTCATCCAAGTCATCATCAGTAGAGGATGACAACATGTATGTTCTCGTGTTATATAAAGACTTCGTGAAATGATCGGTTCAGAAAATTTTTGTCATATTATAGTGGAAGAGATTTTAGAGACGAAGAAGTCTTCCAAAGTCTTCCTTCTTCTTGTTATTCGAAGTCATTTATATAACGGTGCATCCTTACCGACATGGGGATGATTAGATCCAACAATGGTTACATTCTCTGCATAAACAGAGAATCCAGCTCAGATCTCTTTGGACTACATTTTCTATAGATTCAACTTAGTTTGCCCAAAGTTTTTCATCTTTATCTTACGCTGTTTATAGGTGCAAGAACAACCTGCAGCCCAAACGATTTTCAATGTCGCAATGGGGATTGTATCCAAGGATCATATCGCTGTGATCGTGAACATGATTGCGAGGATGAAAGCGATGAGGATGGTTGTCCAGGTAAATTTATCCATATAGTCCGTAAATTTTTTATTCACGCTCGATTACAAGTTGATCAACTAGTCCCTAACTCACCAATTTTTAATTAATATAACCTGCTATTGTTGAACTTGATGAAATTGGAATGAGAAATAACACCTTTGTCTAGCATGCAGCGGAAAGACCAGCCTGCATTACCAGGCCTATTGGGAATAACATATTTCTGCGTTCAATGTATCTTTCGACAATTGCATCGTTCTTTCTTGCTGTAGAACTCGTCTGTGAATCGACTGAGATGAAGTGCGCCAACAATTTGACGTGCATATCACATAATCGAAAGTGCAACGGTGTCTATGACTGCGTCGATCAAAGCGATGAAAACGATTGCCGTAAGTTTGTTTTGATTAAAAATGATGTAGCATATGGGCGTATAATTGCTCCTTCTGTCGTAATATTTAATACAGACTTGACAGGATCGGCGAAAGGCAGCCAATTACCCCGGACAAGTGAGCGTAAAACTTCCACAGAGGATGCTCTAATTAACTAGCTCTGAGACCCTTTTATGGTTTTATAAGTTGCGAAGGCGACTTGCTGAGAGATAGATTTAAGGCAAAAAGCATTTTCTTAAAGCATAAAAAACGGCGATAATTTTTCATTTGTATATGCAATCACAGATTAAGCTGTTGTGAATATATTTGCCGAGTTTAGGACAGAAATTAAAAGCTATTTCATCAATTCTGCAAGTATAGGATGAATAAATCATGTTGCAATTCTCCAACCGTACAGACTCTGTCTTTGCGCAAAATTCCCGAAAAGGACGCTAGATCAAATTAGAGGAGATTTGTAGTATATATGATAGTTTCGAATAATCTTGAATAAGTTTATTCTGGAATGTGGGAAGCAAAAGGCGAAATCTTAAGATTTTAGCTTGGAATTAGTTGAATTTATCTTACTCTTCTTTCCCAGCCGCCACGTGTAACGCTGCAACAGAATTCACATGTGATGACGGCGACTGCTTCCCGAAATCTTTCCGCTGCGATCGCGACAGGGACTGCACGGACGGCTCGGACGAGGCGGGATGCCCTACTAGACCCACCTCAGCTCCCTGCCCGAATCACAGGTTTCAGTGTAACGATGGCGAATGCATCCCGGCAACGTGGCAGTGCGACGGGACCCCCGACTGCAACGATCACTCGGATGAAAATAGTTGCCCTCCCACGTGCACCAGCACGCAGTTTACATGTGTCCGATCAGGGAAGTGTATTTTCCTGCATTCTAAATGCGACGGTATCGCGGATTGTTCGGACAAATCCGACGAAGCTAACTGTGGTAAGTATTAGTATAATATTATGTCTCAACTGTAAATTATCCAATCAGAAAGCTCGATTTGTACCACGTGATCGGTCAATTAATCATGGAGTTTAATCGAATTTTTATAGAGTGTTTGGTTATAATATATAATTCATAGACCTTCTGCTCGCGGAAATCGATGAAATATTAGCCCCTCGGAAAGATATATCCCTCGGGCGAAGCCAATCCCTTGGGGGTAATATTTCCTCGAATTCCCCGAGCAGCAGGTCTATAAATATATAATAGTTCTGCGCAGCCAAGTGATGTCCCCAGCTCTATATTTGAACCGATGAAAAATGTTTACTCGCGGTTTCCTTATCAATTCATTACTGACCTAGAAGGTTCGGTTCGAAAGTCCGTTTTCAGTGCGGCCACAAAAGTTAACGATAACTGCATGAAGGTGAAGATTCGAGAACTCGATAGCTACGATTGCATGTGACAAAGCGATATGGAGACATTCGTTTTTAATTTTTTTCAAAGAGAATACTCTAGATCGAGATTTCTCACCCATTTCGAAAACTTTCTATAAATAGTCAACGTTTTAATTCCCCTGAGAATTTGATGATTGCAATATTGAAAATATTTTAAGTCTAGTGTATTAGCTGTTCCTAATTATAAGCGGTTCCCACAGTTCTTAAATGAGGTCAAAGGTATTTTTTACTACATTCTACAGAAATCGTAACAGGCTACATTACTAAACTGTTGTAACATTAGCCAGCGCCTATATTCAGCAATCAAAACTTGACTTTCATGAATTCAAGGGATTATGGAATGAAAATAGCTTACACAAATCGCAATAATGTTATTCGAAGTTAATAGTAGAGTAGACTGAGTAGAGTGTACATAGTTGTGGTATTTCAAATATTTGTGTCTAGACAAGGTCACAAGGTTCGTCAAACAAGCTATAATGAACGTCCATCCCTGTTAGTATGTATATATTTCTCCTCTTCATCTTCTAATTATTAAATTATTTTTAATGATAGAAAGTCAAACGTCTTGCGATGAAGTCAACGGTTTATATCGCTGCGAGTCTTCTTATTACTGTATCAATGAAAGTCAATTATGCAATGGTTTGAGGGAGTGCCCCCGTGGCGATGACGAGGCGACAAACTGTGGTATGTGTGGGCAATGAATCATGTCTTTTGACTCGTGTCGTGTAACCAGTGAAACATGATTCAAACCAATGAATCCTATCTTTTGACTTGACAGTTTTGTTATTTTTCCCAATAGGAATAAACGAATGTGCGGATCATAATGGACACTGTGTTCACAACTGCACAGATTTTCCCATCGGCTACAAATGCTCTTGTAAAAAAGGTTACAAATTGGCCAACGATAAAAGATCGTGCGATGGTGAGAATAAGCTTCGCCTTCTGTGTTGACTACGTGTTTTCAAACGCTATTAACGTTTCGACATATGATAACAATAGGAATTTCGTTTGCTTTGTTTATTTTTACCTGAAATCTTCCATTGGCATTGATTTGAGTGAGAACCCGAATGAGAAACGATCGCCAGGAAGGCCATTTCTGTTTCATAAGGCCATGTTACACGGTGCAATTATTCTTCAACTTGCAATGCAATTCTACTTTTGAGAGATGTATATTTATGAACAACAGAACTTTTGTGTTTATTAAACTTCATGCACTTTACTTCTGCAAGGCTCTTCGCTAATTTACATCTCTTAGAAGTAGAATTGCATTGCAAGTTGCAAGAAAAATTGTACCGTGTAACATGGCCTTTAGTTGTGAATGCTATTTGCATTCTGAGTGTAGACTTGAATACCGAAGCCTTCACATTTTAGGCAATGTAATAAAATAAAATTATAACGAAATGGAATGACGTAGGATATTTGTTACTGAAAATTGCCCGTTGTAACAACGGCCCATCATGCACGGTTGATAATTTAACCTATTGATGATTTGAATTGAATGTTTGCCTTCCAGACGTGAACGAGTGCGACGGGGTGTATGGCTCATGTAGTCAGACGTGCCTGAACCTAAAAGGAAGCTTTAGATGCGGTTGTGTTGAAGGTTATCTTCTATCAGCGGCTACAGGAACGTGTAGAGCAAAAGGTGCGTATTGGCTCCAAACTGAGTGGTTGATAAAAAACGTTCTGGAGCCGATTGTATTCAGAAACTATATTTGGCCGGCATTGTTAAATCGTAGTTGAACACCAAAAAAACTCGATTACGGTTAGCAAATTCTGTCACTAACATTTACTATAGTTATAAGTTAGCTAATTACCTTATTACAAAAACGGCCCCTAGAATTCAATTTATGCCGAATAGCTTTTTCTCTGGGGTAACTTTGTTAGTAGACTAACCGTTTTGTTCTGGAAAGAATTGAAATTCTGCATTCCTGTTGCCTACAAGATTTCTTCAACAATATTACAGACTGCTACTATATATGCACTTGCAGGTCCGCATGCGTATCTTGCTTTTGGTGGCGAACACGCCATTCATAACTTAACCACATCAGGGAACCACTATGGCAGTATAGTTTCGAATCGTAAAGCGCCAATCGCAGTTGATTATGATCTCAAAAATGGATACGTTTACTGGAGTGATATTCTTGATGAGAAGATCGAACGGACTCGTCTTTCCGGAGATGGAACTGTTGAGACCGTGGTTGACAAATTAGTACATTCGAACGGTACGTTACTGAGCTGCTTCTTCTACGCAAGTGATAATGGACGGTATATAATTTCTTGCATTCTACGTTTGTCTTCACTTCTCAAATACTTGTTTTAATCAATGGTGCACATGTAGGTCTTGCTATTGATTGGGTTGGAAGGAAGTTATATTGGACGGACGAGACCTCGAAATCGATCGAGGTTTCCGAGCTGGACGGAAGAAATCGCTTGACCTTGTTCGAAGAAAACTTGGAGGCACCGCGTGGTGTAGGATTGGATCCATTTCTACGGTACAGAGAATGCTTCTCAATGTTATAAGATTGCGAAATATCACTGCACATGATGGTAAAAAAAGCAAACGGTTTAATTAAAATCAGTCACATGGATTGATTTTCAAGCGTTACAGAATGCACACGGATGTAGCGATCATATGTTAGTATTTCCAACCTCGGGGGGAAATTTTCACATTAAGGCGGAGAGCATGCGTCACTGACCGCAATGTACGACACACATACCTCTGGACTATACCTACGGAACAATAGGACTGAATTTAACTTATTTAAAGACAGCAGTCGTGCAAGAGTATATTATGAAAGTGCACTTGGTGATATAACTGTGTTACGTAGTTTACAAGAGAATACTAATTTGCACTAGGCATAAAGTGTAACCTATTTACTACTTTGGGGTAGGATGCATATCATTTTGTAGCGAGCAGATTAGGAACGAAGTGGAACAACAAGTATCCAAATGACTATGACTATACTATTTATGATTAATAAAAAATTCGGAATTTCTCGAAAAATAGTGAACATACCACAATCCATTCTGCTACACAGTCATGATTCTGCGTCGTTTCTGATCTAGATATATCTTTTGGACCGATTGGAGTGTTGTCCACCCTAAGATTGAGCGAGCGAGTATGGATGGTGAATCCCGCAAGATAGTTCTTGACGCCAACCTTGAATGGCCTACAGCCTTGACAGTAGATACCATCGTGAAGAGGTTGTTCTTTGCGGAAACGAAATTGCAGCGAATTGAATCGATTACATACGATGGCTTTGAGAGGAGAACTATTATTTCAAAGGGACTTGTCCACCCTTTAGGTAGGTGCGATCTTTCGTTGACTGATGGTAACTTAACTAGTTTGACAAGTTAACTGAAGTCAATGAAAAGGTTGTATTTATTCCATTCAGTATTTCGATGATTCTCTAATTACTGCGATCCCTATATTTAACATTATGGCTATAACACAAACTAATGACGCAAACTGATAACAGATAATATAATGGAACTGTGTTTGTTTAAGAGTGGTTTAAACTTGCGATTTTAAGTGTAAGTGGATGAGTTATTCCCATTATGGTTTTCATTGATGTTCAGCAAGATAAGGTCAAAAAAATTTTCAAAAAAAAGTTTTTCAAAAAAAATTCCCATGTGAACCACGGTTTAACACTAATGCATTATTCTGATTTCCAAAGGGTATGGGTATGTTAAAGGGTATAAAGGGAATGTTAGCACTTAGCATATACAATAAACCATTGCGGTAAACTATTTTCATGGTCCATTCCTTGTAGGTTTGGCGGTATTTGAGGATCATTTGTACTACACCGATTATTCGCTTAATAAGATCTTTACCGTGGATAGAAGAAGTGGGAAACGACTCGGGATACTGAAGGATAATGTGAAAAGGCCCACAGGGATTAGCGTTGTTCACCCGGTCAAGCAGAAAAAAGGTAGGCAAGTTTAAAACAGTGCTTACCTGACTTCTAAGGCTAACAGAACAAGCTAGAAAGAGCTAATAGTAATAGGTTTCCTACAGTTTGTAACGCCGCGACATTGACAGATGGTAACAGTCGTGTTTCCATAGTAATCTAGCTCTGATTTCGCTTCTTGTCTAGCCGTAATGCTCCAAAATGAGATTAAGTTGCGGAGTTTTATGGGACTGATAAGTATTGCAGGGTGTATATAACCAGATTAGATATGGGCATCGGTTGGAATTTGCCAGTAGTGGCTCTCGGACGTGTCTGCGTGGGAAAAATTTTCGACAAATGTCTGCTCTTCCAAATATTTCTTAGCAACGCCTTTCTAGATCTTATAAGGTTTAAAGAAGGCCTTCGTAATCTTGTCAGTTACACGGTCCTGGCGCATTTCCAAAGTCGGATTTGAGAATTTCAATATCGAATATCCTATAGACAGGGGACAGTTATGTGAGATAAAAATCCCGCTTCGGATAACTATAAACGGAAATTTGGTTAATAATCGCAAGAGATCTCAAAAATACATCAAACAAGAGGAAATGGCTAGACAAGCTGGCGCCAATTCCGGCTTAATCATGAAACTGATAAAAGAAACAACATGACAAATTTAGTTCCTATTTTTTTATCACAAGTATTAGACTTTAAAAAACGAAATTATTTTAAGGCCAATCTACACGATGCGATTAGTCACATACGATTCGTATGCTGGCGTATGTATTTGAATAAATGCGCGTAAAGATGTCACATTTTAAATTTCGTTATAAACTGATGAACAGACAGAGTGGCGTCACCAATCTTTTCCATACGTCAGGATAAGAATCGTATACGACTAATCGCATCGTGTATAGATCGGCCTTTAGTTGCTGTGAGATTATAACTGATTTCGTTTAGTCATAAACACACCGATTTTTCTTATAGTTTAATTTAAAAATGCATATAGCTTAAGTATAGTTTCAAGAAGGCGGCCTCTCTGTCGAAAAATTGGCTTTAAAAAGGGCATGTAACTAAACTATACACATGCAGTAGCGATTGATACAACAGACAGAAAGCGTAATTGTGGTTGTTAAAAATGGAAATTTTTATGAAAGCAAAATTAAGCCCGTGCAGTACTTTGAAACGACAGATTAACGAAATGTAAGAATTTATTTGCTAACGTTTTGTTGTTAATTGTTCACAACAATTTCAGAGCAATCAGTTGCATGTGAGTAGCTTTCATTTTTATTTCTAAATTAGTCCTTTTACAATTTTCATCTGTCATTTTGTTTTAAACGTACATTGAGGATTGAAATCGCATGAATATTTAATTTGGTTTTTAAATTCGGAGCTCTCCCGATAAATGTTGAATATAACTTAATCTCAGCCTAATATATGTTTAAGGGAAGTTAATGCGATTTATTCCACTAAAATTAGATTTAGAAGTTATATATGGCTTTCTCATTCATGCATGGAGTTAAACTAAATTAGGATTTACTACTAAGCTAGAATTTCATTTCACTACACCGTCACCGGCTAAGAATTGGTATGGTTGGCATTAGAGATTACTAGTTTTGTCAAAAACAATATGATTATGGCTTGGAGTTTAATTTATAAGTGATGAAATAGGTCAATCTTTTGTCGAGTCTCAAGTCTCCGCGATTAAATCCCGGAAGTATTTTAATATTTAGCAATTGTAAACCTGTCCTTGAATCTATTTTATTTATCCTGCATTTTTATATACGGCTGTTTCCTGAAAATATTTAAGCCAAATCCATAGAAATAACAGACATAGAAATGTCTATTATTTCTATGGCCAAATCACGTCACCGAAGATTAAATGCCGGATCCAGCTATTTTCATGCATGGACACGAACGTAAAATGAACTGTCATAGTTAAAAGGGAAAATAGGAGATTCGGTGTGACGCAGATATCGTCTTAACAATCTCGGTCTATAATAAAACAACATCTCACAAATATGTTAATTTGCGCTTGACCCATTTGTGACATTTCCAAAAAAATTAACGATGTGTAAGAAAGCTAGTATATTAGGCTATATCATCGTCCGGCGAACAATAAAGGCTGTCTTTGTCTATAGAGTGAAAACTAGAGAAATTTGACAACATTAACAAGGAACTATAAAATCTGTGTTTCGTTCAGCGTAATCAGGATTGTTGTTTCATTTTTGCTTTCACTCGAGTGAGGTTGTCAGGCTGAATGGCGTATATGAGACACTTTACCTGGAGTTAAGTGCCCTTCCTTCAGCGGGCAGTAAAGCTGAATCAACCAGCATATACCCTTTTTTCAATTCTACTGAGAACATTTCGCACTACAACGTAGTCAGCGATAGCTGAAGCATTATTCTCGCATTTTTATTCTTTAGTTGCCACCAAATGCAATATCCAAAACGGTGGATGCTCTCATCTTTGCCTTTTATCAAGTAATTCCTCGAGGAACTTCACCTGCCGCTGTCCAACGGGGATGGTGTTGCGCGATGACGGAAAGTCTTGTTCGCCCTCAGGTAACCAAACCTCTGAGATCACACCTGCACTGAATACTAAAAAGCCAGAATCTACTGCGCAGAGTCCTCGCGGGACAAAAGGTCAGACCAACGCCAAAGGAACAACGGAAAACAAAGGCCCGCTGGCGAAGAAACATGAAGGCTCGTCCGGGAAATCTGGACCATTGATAGCTGGAGTGACTGTAGCTGTTATAGTGGGCATATTTCTGCTTGTTGGCGCCGTGCTGTACTGGCGAAGACGAGCTAGAATGACGGACAGAAGCATTCTCTTTTACAAAGATAGCTCAACGACTCCACTTCAAAACGATTTTGATGAGGATTTAATAAAAAGCCACGAGGACATTCCTGGAAATTCGCGTGTCCAATTTACGTAATGTTGTGAATAGAGTTTAGTTAAGACAAATGCAACCAATGTTTGCTAACTCCCTTGCTTGTGTCTAACACCTCGAACGAATCAACTTACGTTTTGTAAATATTAAATCTACATTTTGCTTCGACAAGGGCAACTATAAGGTCCAGGCAAACAAAAAGAAATTGTTTTTCTCTAAGATATAGGATATTCTCCTTTATTTATTCGTTTTGTCCTTTTGTATTTTACTCTTTAAGAGTATAAACTGCGCTGAGAACGTCTTACCGAGGTTAAAGCAATAAAGGAACTAACTAGAAAAGCCTTTTTCATGTTGTCTTGGCAAACATTGACAAAGGTGGTTTTCATACTGCTTGGCTTCAGTTGGTCTTCCCGAAACAGACATATAAATTTGTTTTCAAGATGATAAGCCTTTTTTTTCCGATGTTTTTTTCTGGCAAGAGTGGAAAACTTATTCAGAAAGTCGGCCATTTGTTTTCTTATAGTTTTTCCCGAGGCTAAAAGAAAACTACGAAATATCGCGAGGGGGAGGGGTGTGAAGAAAGCGTAATTAAATCGATGATATCTGTATATATATATATATATATATATTAATATATATATATATATATATATATATCTATATTAGTTAGAGTAACTTTCAGATACATGTAAGGTTGGGACGAGTACGGCGAATATTTACATTTTTCACCCAACAGTCTTCTCAACGCCTTGTATCAGCGCATGACAATCTCAATGAATCGTGTGATTCATGAATACCTATCGTTAATTTGAATTAAGTGTTTATCGTTAACTTTTAAGCAAGCATCGGCGCATTTGTCTTGTAGTATTATAAACGAAATAATATAAAAATAATAAAACGGTAAAGCAAAACAGTAAAAGTGGCAAATTAAGTAGATTTCGAAAAAAGTGGAATAATAGATAATATAGCTGTACTGCAACACTGCTCACTTGCGACAGTGAGTCATTGAAACTCCGGCACACGAGATGAATTTCTCACTGGCCAGTAGCATCCACCACAATCAGTATGTCATCTGAGGTATTTTTCATCCCAATGAGATCTCGCGCCCTTTCCGGGCTCTTATATAATAATCCGCTGTCCGCGCACAAATTTACTACAAAATTCAGTATTGTAATATTGTGTCATTATATCATCCTGCAGTCAGCTCATTCCTCCCAACAACAGAAAGAAAATTTCCTCATCAATATATTCACGAACGGGCTGGCCTGCCTATGTTGTCGCCCGTTTTTTTGGGCAAAATTTTGATTAAACTTAGTATTCCTATATCGGGGATCCTCTTTAATAATTTTTGGTTCCAAAGCTGAAATTTTATTGCTTTTAGAACGGTTGAAAAAATCAATATCAGAGGCCGGTTGTTCAAAAGCCGTTTATTAGCTTAACCCTGGGTTAAAGCAAATCTTTACATTAATTTTTAACCTCTTGTTTGCAAAATCCATAATTAATGTTTCATAAATTATTTCAGGACCGATAGCTAGAAGTCATATTTCCTAAACGTTTTACAACGAACAGTGGTTCAAAAGCACATAAACTAAAACTCTTGGATATAATTTAAGCCTGGGTTAGCGCTAACCTAGCTTTAAACAACCGACCCCAAGGCGTTTTGCTTAAACGGTGGATAAGTTCAAAATGGAAAGCAAAACTATTTATTTATTGAACAACTGAGCTGAAATAATTCGATGTAAGTAGCTTAATTGTCAATGGAAGTACATATTTAATGCATAAGATGCAGATTTAGTCATTCACAAGATGCATGAGAGTAATTTTAAACTTTGGCTTATCCACCGTTTAAGCTAAACGCCTTTCGAACAACCGGCCCCAGGTGGATAGCCGGTTATCCGGCTTTCATACAACCTGCCCCAGATAAGTACAACTTTAATTTCAGTTTAACGGAATTCTCCCACCTTTGGCCACCTATGAAAGCAAACTGAACCGGAATTGAGCTCGTACAATTGATAACAATTGTGATACACGACAAATTTTATTCCCTTTTTATTTTATTCCTATTTTAATATTATTACAAACGATGACGACAGCTTTATTACAGCTGTATCGTCATCGTGTTACGCGTAAGCTCCTTAAATTGAATTGCCGGCAAATAACGATTACTGTTGTCATGGGCAACAAGTATGTTACCCAAATTGAATGCTTGGATTACCGCCGCCACGGCACGGGCTTTTATATGAAATATGAGTAAACACTTCAACGTGTGGTGTTATTGGATTATCATATCATCGACAAGGGCAACTATGAGGTATGCATGGCACGGCATATACGGTCATGGCTTAAGATACTTTTTCTCAGCAATAAAGTCTCTGCACATGTGAAATTTTTTGACAATGTGTGCGGTCAATATGGAACGGCTGTTTAGACTGCTTCGGGGAGTATAGAAACTACTACGATATTGCGGGATTCAAACCACTATATAAGCCTATCGGTCAAGTTGAGTTGTTGGTTAATTCACTTAATTGCAACTGGCTGTATGAAGAATCAATCCTGAACACCATTCGGGCAAATACAAGTTGTTCATGGCAAGAGTTAGCGATATCTACGGTAGTTTAAAGAAATCTGTGCCCGCTTCTCAACCGCCAAGGAGGAAATACGACGCGTTTCAACATCAGAGAAAGCTGGAAATGTACATTCGTTGCACAGAATTATGTCAAGTCGATCAGTTTAGCAAGAGCGACCCTCTGTGTGTTTTGTTCATGAAGAATATGGGTCAATGGTGTGAGTACGGTAGGACCGAATCGATTCCCAATAATCTTAATCCGAGGGTGAGTTTTTTAAATTTCGATTGGTAAATCAAAATGGTCTTTGATAATCTCATATTGTTCTGTTCTATGTCTCTGTGTACATTTGTTTACATTGCAGTGATTTACGTTGGTTTCGTGCTTAGTCCTTTCACAGGTTCCACTCTTAAGTACGCACTCGGGGCAAATCAGTACATAGATATTCGAAAGAGATAATCCGGAACTTGTATATTATGCCAATATTGAATGTTTATGAGTGCAATTCTGAGTTCAAATATATTCTTACGATTGCACGAATGAAAACATTCATTATTTGTTTTATATAACACAATGTGGACATACACTTACGATAAAACGTATAAAACTTATGAATGTTTTTCCTTGTTAATTTGCACGCGCTTGGCTGGAATCTTTCCCAGCCTCGTACCCAGGCGCTTTAATAGTAAAATATATAACGTTGTATTCAATTATTGTGTAGAGGTTAGCTGAAAAAGGCGAGCGCGTGGGGGTGCTTGGAGTGGTTTTGTTTCAAGCGCCCCAGCGCGCTCGCCTTTTTTCCAGCTGACCTCTATATACAATAATTGAATGCGACGTTATTTTTTACTATTAAAGCGCCTGGGTACGAGGCTGAATTCATCCCAATTTACAACCAAATATCAACAAATTAACTCTTTCAAAAATGTTCACACTTTCATTCTGAGCAATCTGCATTCTCAAAAGCTAGAAATGCATCTCTGACGGTCAATGTATCCCATGTGTCGGCTTTATGTTTTTTGTATATTTTCTTGAACGGTCGTTTTCTTTTTGCTTTAGTTTTGCCAAAGCATCGGACTTGAAGTAGGAGGTGCCGATACATTACCAATAAAACTAACCGTTTACGATTTGGCTAATTTCACCAGCAAGGACTTACGAAAACACGACGTCATCGGCTCGGTGGAACTAGATCTCAGGAACGTGCTTGAAGTAGAGCGTCCATTTGTCGGCGAACTACGGATGCCGGGTGACACGAAGGCACGAGGATACATTTATGTGTATTTTAAGGATATCAAAGACACGAAAAGCAAACTGACGTTCCAGGTTAAGGGGGCAAAGCTTACGAAAAGGGGGATGTTTGCAAAGTGTAACGCGTATTTTGAGGTTTGTCGTAAGATTCAAGAAGGCACTAACGAAGAATTTCATCCGGTGTACAGATCACAGATTGTGGCCCGCAGCCAGGAACCAAGGTATAGGTATAAGTTATTATAAGTATTTGAAATCAACTGGATACACTCTTACCTTTGAAAAGCCAGGAGCAGCATCGCAACGTCTTCAAACAACTTCACTTCAAACAAATGCTAAACTTGCATTAAACGAAATTGCCTGAACTTCATTTATTTTAAGATGGCAACCAGCTGACATACCACTCCACAAGCTATGTGATGATGTTGACAACGACGCAAGCATTCTTCTCCAATGTTGGCATTTTATTCAAGATGGCGGAGACGAACTCATTGGAGAAGCTCACTGCTCGATAAATGATCTTTTAAAACAGTAAGAATTTAATTACTTCCATAGAGATTAATTAACCAGGTGCATTCATTGAAACCAGTGGCACGGAAGTTGCGAGTTTTGGATGCCAATACGATGTTGTTCGAAATGACATTGATAGAAATTAAGTAACAGACTGACAGTAACCGCAGTTCTACTTCCTGAAATTTATGTTTTTGAATATGAAAACACAATATTGCACACAATCCTTTTCATCATGTCGTTTACTATGAAAGATGTCATCAGCGAAATAACCAGGGAGCGGTTGTATGATACCGGATAGCGCTATCCATCGGATAGTGATTTTTCAACCGTTCTAAAAATGCTTTAAAAGCAATAAAATTTCAGCTTTGGAACCAAAAATTATTAAAGAGGATCCTCAATTTAAGAATACTAGGATTAAATCAAAGTTATACTCAACAACGGGCGATTTTAAAGCGATTGATTTCATACAACCGACCCCAGTCCTCATAGCCTCTTTTAACTTGACAAGGGAATTGCTGGCTATATAGTCCAAGCGACCTTTTTAGGTGTGTTTACCTCGTAAATCAGTATTGGTTAAGCCTGGTTTGTAGAGTTAATTGATACGTCATCTTGCAAATTTTGAGTTTCTCTCTCTTTTCCTCTCTTTCGTGCAAGGTTTGAATTTTTCAGTCGTTCATGTTTGGCGTCATGAACGGCTAGAAAGTGTACCCACAAAAGTACCCCAAAAGCGTGGTGCATATTCCGATTTTGAAAGTCAGTACATCACAAACCTAGTTAAAACATGGCATCTGAAGTTTCACAAAAGTTGCATATCTTGCTAGCTAATAATTAACTCCACAAACACGCGACAAAATATTAAATATGACAACAGGAAAATTCTGTTTTTCAGAGACCAGAAAGTCGTTCAGCTTTACTCACAACAGCAGATCAAGTCGAAGCGGCCAAAGTCGTCTGGAAGTCTGAAAATATTGCAATGCTGTCTGGAGCGACAATATAATGTACTGGATTTCATTCGTGGGGGATGCGATATGAAATTTGTTTGTGCGATTGACTTCACTCTGTCAAATGGAAGACCCAAAGATAACTACTCGTTGCACAGTATGCTGAGTGAACATGTGAGTATTGTCATTGATTGTTATAAATAAGCTTCACGCTGGTTGGTCAGTGATGACCTTAGCAAAGTACGTGTTTCTTCAATCTTATGCAGCCAATGAGCGTACTGTGTACTTGCGATAATTTCTAGGCATGCATAGTTTTCAATTCGGCTTTATACTCACTTTTACCTATACATATTTTACGATAACAACTTTCTTTATTACTTGGCTACCCCTGAAAGAGATCTACGCAGCGAAAATGACACCGACCAGACTTGTGTATGAGAATTTCGTCGTTGGTCTTCGCCTTGCAATTGTATAGTCCATGTTGTTTAAGCATCTAGTGCGTTTTTCTAAACGTGGTGGCTTCAAGAAGCTGTAGTAGAAATTAACTTGTGGTTGAAATTAATTGGCAGCAGTGTACTGTACGTTGTATGATTTTACATCGCTCATACTGTCTACCGACCCTGCACCGCCGAAAAATTTACCTTTGTTGAATATAACTCATTATTATATAGGTGCATGCTGTGTATTTTAAATGTGATTGGTTCATTCGTAGTCACATGACTTTAAACACATGCAATGTTTCCCGCCAGGGAAACAAGTGAAAAATTGTTGCCCGCATTATTGTCATAACAAAGTGTTTTTTTGTAATGAAATTGTTGTGTAACATGCATGTTTTTATTCTATGTTTTTATTAAAGCACTTAATGTACACTTAATGCACACAGTAAGTTTTGTTTTTCCTCGAGTCTCAACATTCAGACTCTTGCGAAAACAAATTTACCTCGGGAGCATACACTAAGTGTAACATTGCTATATCTTTTCATGTATGATTGCCTATATGTGTTTTCTAAACAGAACGAATATCTAGAGGCGCTACGGTCGCTCGGTTCAGTCCTCTCGTACTACTGTGTGGACAAACGACATCCTGTGTTTGGATTCGGTGCGAGGTTGCCTGATGAAGATGTCATCTCTCATTGCTTCTCCCTGAACGGAAATGAGAATTCACCACAGATTCACGACCTAGAGGTAATATGTATTTCAGTCTAAATTTTCGAGTCAACTTAAATTTGCGAGAACTTATCACCGTTTTGAGAAGGGAACGGGACGTGTAAAGGAAGGGAACGGCTTTTCGAAACGGTTTCACTATATACAAATAATTTTAAATTATTGCTATATTCAAAACAACGGTTATATTATTCAACAGTTTTATCCCATTGTTTTCCACTAGAGAAACAATAAGTGAATAAAACCCATGATATTTTTTTTAAATAATAATACCAGTAATACCGAGGTAACGCCATTTGGACAATTGCCTCGCCGTAGAGAATTTTCGATAAAGGATTATTTAAACAAAGGCTTTAGGATAGTGTCTCAACGGACTACAGATAATTTTATACAGATCTATGCGTGAAACTCCGTGAAGTGCCACATGCTCAGTATTTTATATTTCGTGCAAAAAGACCGTACAGAGATTTTATCGTCAAGCGTAAGGCACTCTTCACTCTCGTGAGGTAAAATTTGTGTCGGATCACTGCATTGCTTTTCGAGCATTGCAGAATAATATGTACACATAGCACTTTGTGTGTAAACAAATCAGTGAACTCACAAACTATCTTCTCTCATTACCAGGAAATCATCGATGCGTACCTACGTCGTATTTCAACTCTTACGTTCGCCGGACCAACATTCTTAGCGCCGGTCTTTCGTCGCATTTTACGTGATCACGTGCCTGTCTCGAATCAGTCCTCTCAATGTTACGTCACGGTCCTAATATTGTTGGATGGAATTGTGAATGATTTAGATGAGCTACTGCCAGAGGTCCGGAAAGCTAAGGAGCTGCCACTGTCAATCGTGATTGCCGGAGTTGGACCAGGCAACTTTCATTCGATGGTAATTCAAATTAAACACACGCTTTTTCGTACGTAAACATTACGGCTAATGCCTGGTTTCCATTTAGTCGTGAGTGTCGTGAACATGTCAAGGTGCCTGATGTGATGGAATATTTCTATATGTGTTTGCAGTCAACAATGACCGATTTGAATACGGAAATAAAGACAAATATAGATCCGGACTATTTCTCATCAGTGAAAATGACTTGTTCCCGACAATTACGAACTATGGAAACCAGGCTTAAGAATCAATCACTAACGTGACCATCCAACCACAGTTTAAATGCTTTTAATAGCAAATTTTTACATACGTAGTATGCATATTGAAATGTAACAAAATCTGTTTACTAATTCATTAATTTCATTTCATTTGTTTCCAATTATTCAGAAGGATATTTGTAGCAACAAGAAGAACGAAGCAAGATGGAATCTTCATTTTGTGGCAGTGAGATCAAATAACAGCAAAAATATTTCGCAAGGAAAGGTAGGATAAAAAATGTTTTTTTTTTGTCGTGCGAATATTCCTGATAATTCCCATTCGGAGTATCGCATAGCGTTTCGTTGCAAAATCATTCTGTCGCCAGTAACATATCTTCGCAGTCTGATCACAAACATCACTTGCACCAGATGAGAGAATAGCTGAGTTGCGACTGAACATGGATCATACATCGAAGCCTGGCGTTTTCAGGAACAACAGTAATAGTTTTTTCTGCATGGTCTTTGCTGTCAGATGTTTATCCCTTTCGTTTTTCCGCGGGGAACGAAGGGATTCAAAGAATGATCCAAAGCACTATAATTATACCCAGTGAACGTTAATAAATAGCCTGGAACGATACCTCCTCATTGTTTTTGTGAAGCAAAAATTCGCGGGACTTTACCTCCACACGCGCAGGTGAAAAGTTCGGTGAATTTTGGTTTCACAAAAACAATGAGGAGGTATCGTTCCAGTTACTTATTAGAGTTCACTTTTTGTACATGAGTCGATAAGGTGTTTAAAAGGCTAATTTACTATATGGTAACAGCTGTCGAGAATGGAATTTTTCTGAATTTTACTTCTACGGAAGAGAAAGAAGCACTTTTTTGTCAGGTGGTTCGCTAATTGCTTCGGTTTCAAATTCAGGTGCGGGACATCAGTGCACAGGTGTGCCGGGATTTGATTGCGTATATGAAATTGAAGAACATCCATCCTAACCCAGAGAAGACTGTAAAGATGAAGCCCCTTTACGAGTCGCTTGATCTCGAGTCCACAGCCGACAGAAAAACATTGGCGAAGTCGTTGTCACAGATAAACGATATTAAATCATGCTGCCCTTCCTGCGGCTCTAACATTACCAAAGTGTTCCCTGCTATGTAGGGATGATTTAAGGCTGGCTTCCAGTCCTTCATTATCCTCCAGTGCATGCTTATCGGGCAGAAAAGTATATTTCAACAAAAAACTAATTTTGTTCTTTACAATAAAGAAACCATAATGTTCGATCCAGTCTGGAGGATAGTTTTCCTGACTGGAAACCAGAATTTAGCAACACTTCAGTTAGTATGATTTAGACCGATATATTTATTAACTTTGCTATCGTTGCAATGGCTACCTGTGAAAGGTTGAAAGAAAAGAAAACGTTGAAAATGCCTACCTGTACAGTTGTCAACGATCAATTCATTGTTATAGAAATACCATGCATACTCTCTGTCTACTAGCTATATTCCCTGTCCAAATAGTTATTGTCACTACAACGAAACGACTGCATGTGATCGATTCAAGGCCGCATGAACTGAATTTAATTAGGTTGAATAATTATGATCCGTTAAATGCCTATAGGAAGAGTTGAGCCAATTCTAAAGTAAAAAGTAAATTTATATACATTAAATAGTATAGAAAAGTTTTATACATAGAAAATATTTGCAAATTAAGACCATTGCCCAACTTGCTATGGTAATTATATCAGTTCTAGAAATGAAGAATGTACATAATAACCTTTGCAAGTTGTGCAATGTTTGTTTTTGGTTTTTCAACATAACAAACGAGGTTGTTGAATAGTTTGATTTGCAAAACATTGCATCTTCGTAAAAATGTTTGAAGAATAGTTCAGACATTTTGATTCAGTTCTTGCATTCAGTGGGCGAACAGGGACTAAACGTTAAAATATTTAGCTTCAAAGTCAAAGATAGGATCAGGTTATCGCTTCACGATAACTGGTTCAGCATAGAACATTTTTTCGATTCTGTCCAGCTGCAAAGGTGATGTAGCAACTGTGCAAGTTGATTTCATTATGCCTCAGTGGAACTCTGGCAACGAAATTTGTCCATTTCTAATTTTTAAAAGCCATGTTTACACAGGCAAGTTTTTTCAGACATGTAATAAAAAAAACATTTCCCAGTGTTGAATTTTCTAGAATTTTTTTAAGGACTACGTTCGGATGTAAATTTGTACATGAAAGAAAATTTACGAAATGAAATTTCATCCGCGCAAAGAGAGCTCTGTATAGAATTTTTTTATTAACAGTATTTCACCCAATATATAGACTATTAGTGAATATGTACCTTATCACGGTGCAGAATTTGTACCATAGTTAGCTTAGACAAATAAATTGTATGTATTTAGTTGTATATTGTGAAGATACATATATTTGCATGTGGAATATTATAATATCAAATCATATACATAGTTGGGTCTGTTCCAGTATCACCAACATACTCAATGCGAGTATATATATACGAACGTGCAAATTAAATCAATGTTTCTATTTATAATTTATAGCCACGTTGGTGGGTTTTTCACGGTGAACCAAAGTTCTGATATCCAGGGAATCGGGCAGAAGTATGGTTTGATACGTACACATCAAACATAAATTCGCTTTCTCGCGCGATTTCCGTTTCCTCTGCTGTATTTCGCCAACAGTTGCAAGATGTTTTCATACACCAGTTTCGGTGCATCTTTTCCGACGATGAAATCAAGATGATCCCAAACCTAAGAGATATGAAAACATAGTTCATTGTACAATAATTTACAGAGCAGGAGCTGGGATACGAGACTTTTTCCCTTAAATTAAAAATTTATCTTAAAAATCTCTCAAAGTTAAATTTAAAGGGTTGGGTGCTTCTAAATTAACAAACCAAAATATGGCTTGCTCGAAAACTGTTTAGAGATTGGCGCTTTCCTCTCTCTGTTTATTCTTCATAAAGTTCACTCAAGCGGTTCACTTAACTGAAAATCCTTAGTTGGAGCTATAGGCATGAACCGGCTACAGGCATGCAAATGGCCGGAATAGAAATTGGTTATTTAGAAATGCGAAAGTCCTCGCAGGAATGCAGGTGAAAAAAGTTGGTGGGTCTTTTATGTCGCTGTTAAATTCACTCAACTTAACCAGCCTTTTCACAAAATTGTTATTGGGCAACAAGAACAAAATGGTCCTAACTAAAAATTCGCAATTTAAAGTCCTACCGGGTTTTGATCGTCACGTAAACTTTAAATTTTCAAGCAAATCAGCTAGCTTTGCGCACACGCTGTTTTAAATAGCTGAGAAATCTCCACTACTACAAATTTTCACTACTATTTTAACTACAAATACAAATTTGCCTTATTTTCAATAGAATTGTAAAAAAAACGTTTATGTTGCTTTGAAGAATTTAAATTTCGTGCGCGAGCTAGCTATTTTGTAAATTTGATTCATAAGCCTGGTTTTAGGAACTCGACTTATAGAAGTTTTCATTTTTAAGCATCCAAATTAATTTAGATTGACAGAAAACTGTGTGTCTGGACAGCAAAACCGCAGTATGTGACATACATGGGGTTGAAAATAACCTTTGTTAAAAAGTCTGCTTATATCTATTAAGTCTGGAAATATCTCCAGACAAAAGAACTTATAACAGAGAGAAGGCACGAGAAAAGAAATTTCAACTGCCGAATATTCTGCAAACGTTAAAATTTTATTGTATATGTGCGTCAATATTTCGCATCATTCCGACATCCCTGAGTGTGCTTTCTAGGTTACTTCGCAGATTTTTTCAGTTGTTTTTTCCACCCTGAACCAACAAACCTCAATGAATTGCTTGTAAACAATATGTTTGTGCTGTTCAATGATCATGTTAACATCCTTGACATCGGCCAACCAATCATTTCCTCCGTAGAATAGTGCGGTTGGAATTTGGATGGATGGTAAATTGTATGATGGCGGAGTGTTCTGCAAAAATAAAATAAAATAAAATATTTAACCAAAGGCTGATAAACGGAAAACTTACACTACTGTAAGGATTATGAGTCTTGGAGATTAATTATCAGATTAGGCGCTTGTAACATGGCCCATCACTTGCACGCTCAACTTGTCCGCCATCTTGGGTGGGAAGAGATTTTAACTCAACAGGGGCCGGTTGTATCAAGCCCGTTTAGCTTAAACGGTGGATAAATTCAAAATAGAAAGCAAGTCTATCGTTTTATTCAACAAGCAAACTAAATGTTTTTAAGCTTAATACAAAGATACTGTCTACAACTACATATTCAGTGCATAATATTAAAGTTGACTCATTCAACAGAGTTGTAAGAGTGTTATTTAATTTTGACTTATCCAGCGTTTAAGCTAAACGGGCTTGATACAACTGGCCCCTGATTGGTAGAAACCCTGCATGGGATAACTTGAACCATAGGTCACGCTATTCAGCACTTTGAAGAGATCTTATAGCTACTGCAGAATTTCAATTCTAACACGACTGCGTACTGGTGTGATTAATTCATATATCACCAGGAATTGGCCTTGGTAAAATGGCAGAAGCATTGAAATGACTAGTCCAGTTATCCTCACTTCGATGATTGAAGTTGAAATGCAATTCACCGCGTGGTGCTAAAATGATGTAGTTTACATTTGCCACAATCTGACTGAAATTCCCTTGAGACAACTTCTGAACACTTACCTGGCCGTAATGTTTTTGGTTTCCTTCAGTTCCATAATCGTACATACAAAACCTCTTTGAATTAACGCCCTGTGAATGAATGTTAAATATTTTATCACTTGATGAGAAGGACAGACATTGCAGGAGAGGAAAAAGAGAAAAAAAATAAGAAATGCATGGTTCAGCCTCCCCCAAACATTGTCTCACAAAATTACGAAATGAAGGCCATATTATTAGGCATATAGAAGATGGTCGGTGGAATAAAACGATAACAAAATCTGATACGAAATTTTGTAAAAAAGGAGGAAGATAAGGATTCTGGATATCTTCCATGAAATCATGTAATTGCAATTGCAACAAGCGCGCGTGTGTAAGATCAACAACGTTCACAAAATTTTGACTGAGCTTGTTACATTCTAAATTATTTATAATTTGTAAATTAACTATTGGCAATCTAAACCTCAGGCGATGGTGCGAATTACTGCACCACGTGCAGAAAAAGCCGAGAAAACAAGGCTGATTTCACAAAAAGGCGATTTTTCCACAGTATACTGACCTGAGCCCAATGTACAATGTCTTTCACAGAGGTACCCTGCGGAATATGAGCAGTATACACAGGCATTCGGGTCTATAAATGCAAAATAATATTAATGGCATCAGTTTACTTCGGGCAGGTGCATGGTAGTGGGTAAAACTGGGAAAATAAACGTCGTTAGAAACGCCTCGCAATTGCTTTGCGCGTTGTATTTTTTTTTACGTTCATAGAACTATGGGCGTGCCAAAACCCCCCCAAACTATTTAAATCACTAATTGGTAGAATCTAAGTTTCCCAACCTTCAAAAGGAACACAAGATACTATGACGTAGCAGCACTGTCAGACCAGCAGAGCCCAGGGTTGCGTGAATGCAATAGTTGAATATTTTTGCATGCCGGATCGTATTCATTATATCATACACATTCATTATATTATACACATGCTATGTAAAAAAAGGTAACTTAAGAATTTCCTAAGTAATCTACTTTTGCTCCGAGTGCTTGGAAAGAGAACGAGAATATATACGGGGCGTATTAAAAACTGGAAGTCTAAAACCCTTTGAATTTGCATGATCTTTTAATTGCAATTTGTGTTTCAAAAATAGGGCAGTATAATTAGCGGTTAAGTTATTCAAATTGAGTGTCTTGCTTTACATTTTAAGCACCCGTGACTTTGGCATAATAATAAGGCATTCAAATTCTAACAAAAGCTTGGCTTTAATAAGGGTACTTTTTTGATACACCCTGTAGTATAAGGGACTATTTACCATTCAGGCAAGCCAGGCATTAATCATGCCTTCAAATTCCAACAGAAGCTTCGTTTCAATACATATAATTCTCATCTTTTGTTAAGCGCACGTTGTTATTACCCTGGGGATTTAAAATATACCTCTAAACCAAACGGTATGAACGTCTTTAGTATATCTCAACAATACGGAATAATTTTGTAGAACAACAGCTAATCATGCATTCAAAGTTAAAACCATATTTCCTTATAACCTATCTGGGAGCAAAGCCGTTCCCAACGAGTTAACTATCAAGTCCCAGGCTTTTAAAGATGATCATAATATCGATTTAAATGTGCAATATCTTAGTGGTTGAAGCATAAAAGAACCTGGGGGAACGTTTTCACATTTCACCTGAAACGACATTTTGGAGCTAATAATCGAAAGCTTGAAGACGAAGGTCTGGGTTGTGAAAAATTCAAAGAGCATATATACATACGACTTCGGATTCAGTTATTGTTCGTTATCGAATTGTATATTTGTATTGGGCTGTTATCGACACGACTGAAATCACAGCTGGTGTAGTCCGTGTAGACTTGTGTTGATCAGGTAAATCTATGTTATCTATATATATGAGTGGATTTTAGTATACTTGCATGGCGTGTGTATATAAGCTGATAAGCATGCAATGCATGTCAAATGTGGCATTTGATATGCCCTGCATGAATTTATGCACGAATATTTATCACGAATACATGACATAGCAGAAATTGTTGTTCATGAAATTTTGACCCGAACAACTCATTGGGGGCATTTCTGTTTCCCTCTGAGTGAAAATACAACAAATTAAGGGCCTGTTTACATGGAGCGAGTTATCCCGGCTAGATGAGGTAAAAAGCGCATCACATGAAAGGCTTAACCTGATTAGTCTTTCATTATATTATGCAGTTTTCACCTTGCCTAGCCGGGATAACTCGCTCCATATAAACAGGCCATAAAACAAATTCAAATTCTGAAAGCTACTAAGCTACTAATCTGAATTCTACTCTGTAATTTTAAAAAGCTCATCGGAAGACGATTCAGAAGATGCAAACTATAGTTTGAAACTACTTGCCTCGTTCAGTTGTGCCTTATCAAAGCCGCAAAGTAAGAAGACAATATTGGAACACAACTCTTCGCCAAGTTTAGGTTCGCATGCAATCTCGGCGAGCCATTCTTGAATTTTGGGCGGCAAATTGAAGTCTCTCACTCCCAAAATCTTAAATAAAAACTGAAAAAAAGGAGGTTAGTTGATAAAATATAAATAGATGATGCAATACGCGTTCATTTGCCTTAGCTACAACGCATGGATTTTTATAATTTGAAAGCCATTCTTTAAACGTTTGCTTGCTAAAGGCGTGTTATTTTACGATGTCGCAAATTTTCTTGCAACTTGAGATTCAATTGGACTTTTGAGGGATATAAATTTGGTGCCAACTACAAAACACTTGCTTTTATTACAATGAACGGATCAGTTCTTTCTTACACGTACAGCGTAATTTTCAAGCAGAACTATGCATGTACTGCACATGCATGGCTGCATGGTGTCACTTCCAAGCGTTTTTGATTCAGTTTCGTTCTTTTATAAAACGGTTACATTCAAGGGGTTTGAAGCTTTCGGTTCAAGCTTCAAAAATCCAAGAAAATTGGTATAAAATAAAAGGAATTTGTTGTTTGCTTATTTTGTTTTTTGAGATCAGATAAGGGATGTATATTAAGTATTTGATCCGAAAATTTTAGCAATGAAGCTCGAGTCTGCCGGTTTCCGTTGCGCGCAAATATGGAGCTAATTTGACTCACTGTATATGCTGTATTTTCATGGAGACTTTAGACTATTTTTTCATCTTGGCAACAAGAGAAATTTTCGATTTATTTCTTTCTTGTTATCAGGACAAAAATTAGTCTAAAGGCCCTGTTACACGGTGCAATTTTTCCTGCCGCACTTGCAATGCAATTTTTCTTTTGAGAGATGTAAATTTGGCAACTACCAAACTTTTGTCTTTATTACACTCCATAGCGTTTCTTACACTTAACATTTTGAAGGCACTTCACTAATTTACATCTCTTAAAAGAAGAACTGGATTGCATTTATTTATTGGTGATCTCTCACCGAATCGCAAATATTTTTGCCTAAGTCGAGACGATCTTCTAACGGCTCGAATGGCACGCAGGCTACCTCAATACCTCAATTTCTCCAGTAAAATCAGCAAGGTATCTCAGCGGCGATACCATGTTTCCAACGTAGGCGACCGGAGCAAGGGCGATAAAAATATCCACTTTCGACACCCAAGTCTGGTTTCTTGAGTATTCCGCAAAGCCAATCGTTGTTCCTTGAGAATGACCGATATATGATAAACTGGATGATGTTGTGTAGTTCAAAATGTATTCTATCGTGGCAGGAAGGTCTGATTTCGCAAAATCGTCCCAGCTGTATGAAAAAATATATAATCAGCATGTATGGTTTTGATTTCTGGAAATTGTATGCTGGAAATAATTTCGAAATTGCACGTGAAAAGCCTGATAAAAGTGCGTCGTCTAACGGGCATTTATACTTATAAGGGCTTTTTCGCGGCATCCTCCTTGGTCATTACACTGAGCAAATCCAAATCCGTATATCCAATTTTATTACTGACATTGGTGACACAGACACTACCGTGCGGTGCCAATGGGTATAGTGTAAACGTGGCTTTATCGGGTGAAGAATTTTAGTAAAATGATACTAATTTTAGTAAATTGATCAGTAATAAACTGATTTTCGTCTGTAACGACACCTGAACTGACATAAAAAAATCCTCTTCCAAGAAAAAACAACATGAAAGAATATTTCGAAAGAGTGTTTACATTATATTTCAACAAACCTGAAGTCCCAAAAAGCATCGGAATCTGGTGACAGAGTTTTGTGTCTGGTCGAGTAGATATTCCCTCGGGAGTTACCAAGCCATACATCATATCCTGCGTCTGCCAAGATGAAACCGAGGCTGCTGTTGGGTGGATTTAGAACAAAATGTACGGCTGAGCCGATGAGACCGTGTTGTAGATATACTACACGTTTCGTCGCCGCGTTGCTGTGCCTGCGGTTTCTACCATGAGGAATTCGCTGCACGCCCAGTATATAACCATCGGAGGTGACAACACTGTGCTCTTCGCAAGGGTATCCCCAGTACCTGATGATTTGGGACTACATAAAAATGTCGAAAAGCTGTTAAGAGTTGGTTTGACACCGAAGTGTTGGAAGCCTGAAGTGGATCACAGATCATCATGCCATATTTGGTGGCGCTGCAAAAACAAGTGTTGGCGGAGTTCGTTGCTTGTTGACATCGTCACAATCGGATTAAAACATGAAAAAGTTACCGCACCTCATACATGCCTGCGCACATTCCCAGGCGCACACCCCCTTGTTATGAAACATAATATTCTTACCACAAGACCACGGCAAGAGAATTTGGTTGGTCAAAATGATCGCTCATTTTGTGCTATAGTTGCATCTCTACCCAGTACAGAATTGGATGTAAACAGTGTAGCTTTATATGTAAACGTACAGCTTTGCATGCATGTTCCGTATAACCCCACGTGTGTTTGGCAGGTCATTTAATCAATGATCACCACCGGATATTTACAGTATTCAATCGGCAAACATAAAAAACACAAATTTTAAACAAATTGTCATTGCGGAACTACTGGGTTACACTGGTGCACTGGCTGGGTGCCTTGGTTCAAAATTGCACGCAAAATTACTGGCAGAATTTGAACGTAGAGAACGAAAGAATTGCAGGGGTCTAAGCGCGCATAATACGCACAAATATATACATACACACAGTGACGAAGTACACTAACATGATCCGAAAATGCTGCATGAGCAACATCCGAGGTCGCAGCCTTTCGTCTGGTAAATAACAGGCCTAGACTCACACAAACAACATGGACAAAATGGTTTATGCGATATTTTAGGAAACTGAACTTTGGCGCGTTTGTCGGGATAAATTTATGTAGCTACAAAAGCGTTTTGAATGAAAATCCATTCAAAATCCTGTCATGTGTATATTCGTCAGCATATTCGTGCCCACACGGTCAGGTTGTTAGTTATATTTTTACAGGGAGTTCGCTCGAAATATCTCCTCCGGATATTTTTTTACTTCTCAGGTAGTTTATTCGATTAGACATTTTGAATTAACAATGGAAAAACCCTTTCGTGATAAAGTACATGCATTTTATCAATTTATTAATCTGGGAAGTGTGCAAATATTATTATGCAAATGCCCTAGATTCGCGCTGTCATTTCTAGGCACGAGAAATGCTCAGCCAGCTCAGGATAAGATTTTATGAATGATGCCGGAAAGTTGATCGCTGGTTATTGAGATTAGATATTTTGAACATTAAATCAAACACGTAAAGTTTAACGTTTGGCTTTCAACTTCAATCCTAAGTCTTTAATTGCTACATTCATAGAACATAAATAGATACATAAAATTTTGAAATATATCTCACCACGTTCATCTTAACTTCAGGGTCTTCGGCATTGCTAAGTTGAACCAGAAGGAACATCATCAACAACGAAGTCAGCGAACAAAGCCACGAGACCGCCATGGTATTGCAGTTCTAGGATCAAGGTTTGTCACAGGATTGTGAATAAACAGCTAGTTCCTTCTTGAGAGGGCAGTCAGGCATGTTATGCAATGCAAACATGTGGTTGTCATAAGACTAGTGTGTCGTGTCATAGGACTTGTCATCATCGTTGCGGCCAAAAGATGTGATTTCCTTTATAGCGCTTCCTGGTATCAAGCGTTCCACTGAAATTACCGAAACATGTTTATTCCCGAAACATGTTGGAACTTTATACATATTTTGAAAGTCGATACCGATTGCCAAATCCCGCGAGCACTGATCCAACCTTGAGTATAAATGTCTAATATTAAATGCATGCAATGGACACACTAATTTAGCCGAGTATAGAATGCATCTTTGTCATTGCTCTCTCTCTCGTCACCGACACATTTTATCTTTTCATTTAAATTATAAAGTTGTAAATTGTAAAGAACCAGTGAAAAGTTAGTTCAACATGCAGCTATGTCGTATCTTTCCACATAAGTCATAAACAATACATGCTCGTCACACGGTCCGATATATTTCAAAATGTTTGCATTTTTGGCAAAATTTTAGGCACTACCACAGAACAAGATCTAATATAAGACTGCACAAAATGGGCAAAAAAATACTTTATACTAATTACTATGTCATGACGTTTATTGAACTTAATTCTAACTATGATGTCATGCATCGATACAGGCTATACCTAAGCCAGGCGAAAGTAGAAGCATGCATCTTTTACATGCATGCAATCAGTAATGCACTATAATATTGTTCCCTTATATCTTGAGCCAATCATCAGTTTCACCAGTCAATCCTGCCGCGATTCGACCATTGTTCTTGTTGATACATCGTTTTCCTCGGGCATTGTTAATCCATACACACGTTAGGGTGATGCAATTACACTCAGCAGTGTCCGAACATGGTTGATTATAACGGCAGTCATCAGATCTTTTCTCTACTACCCCTGCTGCACCAAAATCTGTTTTCTCGTAAACCTTAAAAACAACATTGATCAATTCTTGCCGTATATGCCAGGACTTTATCTCGTGGTTCATAATCTATTTTATAAGATATAGCAATTACAAGGCAAAAATATTCGCAATTAACAAACGTAAATTCTTGCCGTTTAGATATAGAATACAGCATGCACGGGACATTCATTTAGGTCAATAAGAAATAATGCTTTAAACAGTCTGAAATTGATGAACTTTCAGTTATGAACTATATATATATATATATATATATATATATATATATATATATATATATATATATATATATATATATTAGTTAGAATTCCCTTTCGAAAGACACATGCTACGCTATTTTCCCGGTTAATTTTTACAACTTACCGTTCGCCCTTTGATAAGCGCAAAAAGAAATGGGACCAAAAACAACAACACCTTGAAAAGATGTACCGCCATTATTGCTCCTACTCTGCTTTCAAATCTAGTAACAAAAAAAATGATTACGTGAACAATAAGCAGTTTCGAGCAATAACGCGAGTATGTTTATATATATAGCATATGGGTATAATTTTCAATTATGTTATTTGCACAATTTTATAATCAAGCCGATAAATAATTGGAATTTTAATATCCATCAGTCTAGCCTAGGTCCGGTGCTAATATACAAATCACTTAATTTGATGTATTCATCGAGATTCAAACAATTATTTCGCCACACATAGACATTTAGTAATACAAAGCATACAATGCACTGCATAACTCTGTAAATTGCTTTTAAATTAACCGACGGCGACGCTTTCAATTAATAAAATAATGTTTCAGACAATTCATGCCGCGGATGGCGAAAAAAAATCGTAATGCTGAAATGCTCATTTATATAAATCCTTTCGAAGATTTTTTGGCCTATAAGGCTATATCCATGCCATGCCTGAAGATGATCAGAATTGCATCTATATAAGGACCGCGATGACACAAAAAATGCAACAATTCCAAACTTATTACTGTTCACCCGATGAATTAGATTTATTTTTTTATAATTGCTAAAGGTTTCAGAAAATTTTAGTAAAATCCAATAATTAAGAAAAATTGTTCCCCCTATAATCACCTTTGTTAAGAATCAGTGCGCAGGGCAATACCTCGTAAATACGACGCACTGCAAGAATGCCCACTAAAACTGTTGCATGACTAAACTGCGAGAGCTGCTCTTCTTGGTCAGTACGACATTCGAGGTGCTTCCACGGGCTGACCAAGTGCATGTAAACTCTTATAAATAAACTGTCATAGTGCAGATGGTGAAGTAATCTCTTTGGACCTGTTTAAGTAGGGCAAGTTATCCCGGCTAGGTTCATTATTTGCAGCTTTTATCTCACTCACTCTCTCGCTCCATGTAAGTAGGTCCTCAAGCCGATTCTCCATTACGTCCGGTCCGCTCCGCGCGATCGAAGCGCGCTTTGTTTTTCAGGCCCTTCACGCCGGTCACGGTCAAATGGGTAGATTTTCAAAAGCCGCTTCGCCCGCGCGGGTGAAGGTAATGGAGAATCGCCTTTTGTCTTAATAATTTGTTCATGAAGCGTTCATGTGCAAGTTAAATCCCGATAGGTAATAGGCTACTGTATAGAATACTTTTACAGATCGATCAATATAGTAGATTTATATAATTATAATCTATGATATTGCAATTTATTTTATGATAGAATATCGATCAATAAAATGATATTACAATCGTATACATATAGGTAATACTGAAAGAGAAACATTGGTTGCCGTAAATCAGTAAAATTATGCCATTATATAAACGCTGCAATATCATCACATCTCAATATTGTCCGGCACACAGTGCAGACCATTTTTGTGAAACATTTTAGGGCCATTATTTATACGAGGAAAAATAAGTCGCGAGCTATTTAAGACACGTCCTATGTATAAGTCGCGACTTAGATAAGAACAGGGATTTTACCTGTTCTTATTTCAAACGCGTCTCAATTAAATTTAAAAAACTAACAACGCATGCGTGACACGGTTGAAAAAGTCAGAAATCAGTATGAGGGAAATAAAACTGACACCATAAAGAGCAAAACTCCAGCAAAAACGAGAGATACGTGGAGTGGTAACAACACTAGATTTAATACAGAATTAGGACGCCGAAATGATCTATTTATACCGGGCCAGATCGCTAGTCGCGTCTTAAATAAGTCGCGACTTATTTTGCCTCGTATAATGGCCCTATTTTGACATTATATAAGACAGAATTGGATTTTCTTTATCATGCTCGAACTCTATACTAACATGTCTGTTTATTATGGAAAATTGCGTAGACGCTTATCTAATGCAGCAAAAATTAAAAAATTCATTTGATAATCCTTTGATGGACTAACATAACAATCTCATAATAACATACATTTAAGAAGATCATCTTATTTCCTAACAAACGCATGCGTGTGTTATATATGTCGTCCGTATATCAGTTTAGAGTCTCAACAATATCAGTAAAATTATGCCATTATATAAACGCTGCAATATCATCACATCTCAATATCGTCCGGCACACAGTGCAGACCATTTTTGTGAAACATTTTAGGGCCATTATTTATACGAGGAAAAATAAGTCGCGAGCTATTTAAGACACGTCCTATGTATAAGTCGCGACTTAGATAAGAACAGGGATTTTACCTGTTCTTATTTCAAACGCGTCTCAATTAAATTTAAAAAACTAACAACGCATGCGTGACACGGTTGAAAAAGTCAGAAATCAGTATGAGGGAAATAAAACTGACACCATAAAGAGCAAAACTCCAGCAAAAACGAGAGATACGTGGAGTGGTAACAACACTAGATTTAATACAGAATTAGGACGCCGAAATGATCTATTTATACCGGGCCAGATCGCTAGTCGCGTCTTAAATAAGTCGCGACTTATTTTGCCTCGTATAATGGCCCTATTTTGACATTATATAAGACAGAATTGGATTTTCTTTATCATGCTCGAACTCTATACTAACATGTCTGTTTATTATGGAAAATTGCGTAGACGCTTATCTAATGCAGCAAAAATTAAAAAATTCATTTGATAATCCTTTGATGGACTAACATAACAATCTCATAATAACATACATTTAAGAAGATCATCTTATTTCCTAACAAACGCATGCGTGTGTTATATATGTCGTCCGTATATCAGTTTAGAGTCTCAACAATATCAGTAAAATTATGCCATTATATAAACGCTGCAATATCATCACATCTCAATATCGTCCGGCACACAGTGCAGACCATTTTTTTGAAACATTTTAGGGCCATTATTTATACGAGGAAAAATAAGTCGCGAGCTATTTAAGACACGTCCTATGTATAAGTCGCGACTTAGATAAGAACAGGGATTTTACCTGTTCTTATTTCAAACGCGTCTCAATTAAATTTAAAAAACTAACAACGCATGCGTGACACGGTTGAAAAAGTCAGAAATCAGTATGAGGGAAATAAAACTGACACCATAAAGAGCAAAACTCCAGCAAAAACGAGAGATACGTGGAGTGGTAACAACACTAGATTTAATACAGAATTAGGACGCCGAAATGATCTATTTATACCGGGCCAGATCGCTAGTCGCGTCTTAAATAAGTCGCGACTTATTTTGCCTCGTATAATGGCCCTATTTTGACATTATATAAGACAGAATTGGATTTTCTTTATCATGCTCGAACTCTATACTAACATGTCTGTTTATTATGGAAAATTGCGTAGACGCTTATCTAATGCAGCAAAAATTAAAAAATTCATTTGATAATCCTTTGATGGACTAACATAACAATCTCATAATAACATACATTTAAGAAGATCATCTTATTTCCTAACAAACGCATGCGTGTGTTAAATATGTCGTCCGTATATCAGTTTAGAGTCTCAACAATATATAGTTTCCTTGCATGAGATATCTGAATGCCATCATGAGTAGGCTCTATTCGAATCGTCAGTAACTTTTATACATCGTCGTCCTTTTTCCTTGTTGATCCATTTACACGAAAGCAACACTGTGTCGCATTTGCAATCTGAATCTTTCGAACATGATTTATAATAAGAGCAGTCGTCAGACCTTCTGACTCCGGTCTTTACTGTCTTTGCTGCAACAAAATCTTCCAGTTTCCC